AGCTGGGCCATCCAGGTAAGGAAAAATATTATTTTATAGTATTTTTCCAATTTAAAATAGCATTAACAGCTTTTTATAGTAAATTGTAACTGTGCAAAACCCCTGAAGAATTCCTCAGAAAGAGCTACGTATCTGAGGCAAGTTTTGTCATCGTTGAAGCACTTTGAAAAATAGACATAAAAAAAAAAAAAAAAGATTAATTTTCCAGTTTCCTGCATAAAACACAATGCCATGATTTAGCACAGATAACAGGATACAAATAGTTTATTTCATTCTGGTTCTGTCCCCTAGTGCAGCACACTCAGGTTCATTGTACCTGAGATAATGGCGCTCACTGACGTGGCTGTGTTGTTACTAGGCAACCAGAGATAAAATGTAGGGTTTAATGATTCTTATTTAATGCATTTTTATGAGAAAATATGCTTTTTCCTGCCCTGATATTATTAGAGGTGGAAATGCTGTTTACACAGGGAGATATATTTAGCCATCCTCTGCGATCTGAACGAGAAAATTGTTCAAACTGATACTCAAAACACCAAGTCAATAAATATTTCCAAACATACTGACTATTACCACTACCAAACACTTACATTATGGCAGTGGCTGAGATCTCAAACCACTTCACCTGGGACACGTATTCAGTAGGTCTCAAAGCAGAGAATAACAATGGCAAGAGAACAGACAACAGCTTAGGGACGTTGGGGCTGTTATAGATGTTTATGTACTCCTCCAATGCAGAGAGCAAAAGCCCAAGATTTTATCATCCCTCTCCTTTCCAGCACTGTCATGACACTCACACCTGGCAAGGTCACACCATGTTTTTCCCTTGTGTCTTTGGGTTGTCTCGATTCTCTCCAAAAAAGAAACAGCATAATCAAACATTGTCCCTTCCTGTGGAGCTCTAATCAAAGAAGCCTCTACTGGAAGATGCATATCTTAGGAAGCATCCTAGTATCACAGCCCTTGCTCTAGCAATCTAGGCATACATGCAAAGGGCTCCCTGTTACTCCAAGCTGCTACACATTTAATTTCCCACCACACAATTCAGGTCTGTTGAGGGGCCTGACAGCAGTGCTGCCTCCTGAATTCAGCAGGCATGTCCTTTGTTCAGCAGCCAGTGTTGGAAATCACAGAATAGTTTGGGTTGGAAGGGACCTTAGATCATCTAGTTCCAAACCCCCTGCTATGGGTAGGGACACCTCCCATTAGATCAGGTTGCTCTAATCCCCATCCAATCTGGCCTTGAATATGTCCAGGGATGGGGCAGCCACAACTTCTCTGGTCAACCCGGCCCACTGTTTCACCACCTGCATACTAAAGAATTTCTTCCTAATTTCTACCCTAAATATCCCTTTTCCAGCTTAAAGCCATTACCCCTTGTGCTACCACTCTATGCCTTTATAAAAAAATCCCTGCCCAGCTTCCTGTAGGACCCCTTCAGGCACTGGAAGGCTACTGGAAGGTCTCCCCAGAGCCTTCGGTGCAAAGTAATTAACTTTTGGTCAGTCCTAAAATGGTCAGGCAGTTAGACTAGATCATAGTTGTAGGTTCTTTTCAACTGCATTCCCTTCTCCTTCTCTTGTCTCCCCCTGGCAACCAAGAGACTTCAGAAAAACTACCTGAAGGTTGGTTAATTCCTGTGTGTGCTCAAAGCACGTAAGCTCTTTTGATCAACAGCATTCTCAGTTTTTCCTTATAGAATCATAGAATCATTAAGGTTGGAAAAGACCTCGAAGATCATCAGGTCCAACTGTAATCCAGCTACCACAACCATCTGAATGCACCACATCTGCATGCATCTTGAACACCTCCAGGGATGGTGACTTCTCCACCTCCCTGGGCAGCCCATTCCAATGCCTCACCACTCTTTCAGCAAAGAAATATTTCCTAATATCCTACCTAAACCTCCCCTGGCATAATTTGAACCCATCTCCTCCTGTCTTATCACTAGTTACTTGGGAGAAGAGACCAACACTGGGTCTATTAAAACATGCAATGTTTCATAACAAAATACTAAGTGAGACGTATGTGATCAAGAAATATCTGTCATACTTACAGAATGCATCTTAGAAAACAGTGATTACACTTTTCCTGACACATGTCAGAAAAGGGTCGATAAGGTGTAAGCAACTAATGTTTAGGAACCCCTGTATAATGATCATCAAAGAGTACAGGTATGCAAAGAAGGAAGGAGCAGGGCTAAAGAGTAACTCTGCTTTTCAGGTGATATTAGTGGCAGCAGTGTTACAGTGCTGAAGACACTCCAGTTGGTCACATTTCTACAGTTTCAGAAAAAACAGAGTGAGAAGGGAATGGACATAGAAAAGATATGAGAACTGAAGAAAATGTTTTATAGTTAGAACCATTAAGACCTCAATCTGTTCATCATATCAACAGCCCTGAGAAGTCACTCCGTGGGAAGGAAATGACAGCTTCAGTTTTTAATCTAGCAGAAGGGAGTAAAAGCACTGGATGGAACCTAAAGCCAAACCAATTATAATAAAGAATTTATACCAGTGAGGATGATTAACCACTGGAACAAACATTTACAGAAGGATGGCTTTTCCATCTCTTGTTTTGTTTGCAACAAGGCAGCATAACTTTATGATTAAACCTATCTTCCAAAATTCAAGTTATACTCTGACTGAATGCACTTACTGAGCTTAAGAGACGTAAGTGAATGGTCTAGGCCACATCCTTCTAATGTGAGGTTTAACAAATTAAGTTATGTTTCTGAAAAAGAGATTGCTTCTACAGGACTGCATGAAACCAGTAAGCAGAAAAGGGAAATAAATAACTCATCAGAAGAGTTATGAGGAACAATTCCCTTTTTCCGTGTACTTAGAGCATTCATTTTAAAGGAAAAATTTCAGCAACTGAAAAATCAGAAACACAGAGGAATATGCCACTGATTTTTGCTATTTACCTGGCTTAGCTTGATGCTTCGTGCTAAATAAGCAGGTGTTGGCAGTGTCTAAAAGCATAACAGGTACAAAGCTCTACACTCGAAGTCCGGATGGGAGTGCTAGACTGAGAAACCTGACTCCTGCAAATCGCAATTCATCACTGCATGACTCTGAAGACAAGTCTGACCTGTAGCTAGTTTGAAGGAAAGCAGCAAGGATGGCTTCAAACCTCTACTTTTAGGACTGTATGTCTGCATTAAGTTAAATGGTCAGGAACAGAGCTGGGCAGAGATGCCAGAATTCAGAAATCCCTGCTGCCAAGAGAGTATCCAAATTACTACCCTACACAAACTTTATTTTCCTTCTTGTACGTAGGACTGAGAATTTTACCTTTCAGCCTTCAACAGTGTTCACTAACAAGTCAGGCAAAACTCTTCAGTTGCCTCAGTTCCCTAGTGATTATCTCTAGACAGCTCAGGCTGAAAATACCCAGTACTGAGACTATGCTAGAAGCCATATTGCGATTTCTCCTTCTAGCTCTTTGGGTTTGAACTCTTAAATCCAAACACAACATTCTCAACTACACCTTGGAAGAAAAACACAAGTTAAGCCAATAAGGCATTGTATTTGGCTCAAAATATCTGTTTGTCCTAATTTCTACTGATGCCTCTTCCCTCATTAATTCATTCATGAAAACCTGAAGTTGTAAAGAAACATTAATGTGCTGTCTTGCAAAAAGCCTGTCAGTTTTTAAATGGCATTAAAAATGCAACTAGACTCACAGTGGACACAGTTCACAGAAGATCTACTGAACTCTGTTACATGGAATTATACCAAGAAGGATGTCACGTAATTGCTTCTCACTGACAAGAAAATTCTACCCTTATCACACATGGACAGAAGAGCAGAAAGAGAGAATGAGATGAAATGTAGGTGGAAGGCTTTGATTTACTTAAATTCTCCAAATGCCAGGCTGAACGAAGAATGAAGGACAAGTGGAATAAAGGAAAAGGAATTAAGATTATTTCATTTTTAAATGGAAAAATATTTTAAACCTTTTCTGAAAAATAACTGTGCAAATTCATGTTCTGTTGCTGAATTGTCACTGTAAGTCATGTCACAAATTCTACGGTATTTTTTGCCATAGCTTTGTAAAACATGAAGAAATAAGTTTCAAAATATATTACCCAGAGAGGATTATGTAACTAATACGTTTTTTAGATAAGATTATACCAAAAAAATCAAACCAAACAAAAATCACTCCCCCAACAAAAAACAAAACAAAACAAAACCCCTGAAGAAACACAAGCCTCCTCCATTTAGAAATTATTAGAAATACTCTAGAACAGTTTGTCTTAATCTTACTATCAAATCATATTTAGCTTCTCTTAGGCATTTTTATATGACTTACTAGAAGGTGATGAAAAAACTTAATAGACCAGTCTATCTTTCAGCTATACCTTAGCAATGCTCCAGTCTCAGTGTATTACCAATGTACATTGCTCCATTTTTTAAAACATTATTGTTTTAGACAACAAGAAAAAAGGACAAAAAGATTGGAAGAAACTTTGAGATCATCCAGTCCATCCTGCTTCTCAAAGCATAACCAAAAGTCTGTATCTCATTTCAGCCTCACATATAGGTAACTTTATATTTTAGAGACCACAACTGTGGTGGTTTTATGGTGTTATGCACTTATCCTAAGGAAGTTTTGTTCTTCTGTGTATCTTCTCAAGCACAGCCTAAGCCTACAGTTTCTTCTTTCATTCCCATATTATATTGTTCAACAAATCTGAAGGCTGTAGCTGTGTTTCCCTTTCAGAGTCTGATCACAGTGAACATGAATTCTTGTCCAACAATAAACAGGACATGAAGTCCTGAACAGTAAACTGAGGAACTATGGTGAACTAATCAGTAAAACAAAGCATAGTGTTAGGAGTAAGCAATCCAAGGAGATAGGTTATGAAATGGCATAAAATCCCCCAATAAATCAGGAAAAGGAGAACCCTGTCCCCATAATCCCATTCAAAACAGGAAGGTTTGTTGACCATAGGGGTATAGCATATATATAAATACTATGTTTCAATTTCCTACCTCAACCACAGTTGTCTTGGCAGCTTTGCACATAGGTTGGTTGAAGTTTCTTGCAGTTTTCCTGTGAAATAAAATAGAATTAATAAATACTAAAAGCTGTAATAGTATGAGGAAAGTCTTTGTAAGATGAACAGCACCAATCTTTATTCCAGATAGCTAGAAGACAAATAAAATATAGAAGGGAAGAAAAAGTATTACGGAATTGTGTAAGATGCATATGAAATGAGATTTTATTTTGCTACATTGTAAATTTGTTATTACAGTTCTTCTGACTCTTAATTAATACACTGTTTAATTGAAACTGGGTGGGGTACTAATATGTTCATTTATTAGATGCAAGAGCAGCAGCACATTGGGCTTTGTACAATGTACCTTCCCGTTATTGCACTGCACAAAGAATTAAATTTAATCTCCACAGAGTGGGCAATCGGAGGCCTAGCAAGCTCACATATGTCTTCATAATTCAGACTGGGAGTTTGGATGGCACAGCAATTCCCTAGATTAAAAAAGCTGTGCCAGTTTTGGCACTCACTGCAAGACTCTGGCCTTCATCCAAAGTATTCTCACACAGTATTTCTGAAACAGGAAAAAAGAACCTCTAGGGAAAAAAAGTAACACATGACATGTACAACTGTGCTGGAAAAGTAAGTGACCTATGTCAGCCCCTCTCTGTATTTTCAGGAAGCAAACAAAACTGTGTGGCACTGACATATTTTAGTGGTGTTCCACTGGTACCTTCTCAGCATTTTCTCTTTAAAAAGTAAAATTATTGAATTTTTTTCAACAAAATTTATGAAACTAGGGTTCAAAACAAGTCAAAAGCTCCTTTCTCCTGCCCCCATTCCACAGAAGCTTTTTTTTTTCCTGACCAACATTATATCCCAACACCTTCTACACTCTTGTTTACCCTTTTGCCCGATGACCCCGCTTAGTGCTACTCTGAACTTTGGGAGGCTGCTGCCACCTCGTGGCTTTGGAGAACGGTACGGAATGGAAACGCCCGAGTCCTAAAACTACCATGCAATTTCTAGTGCAGAGACCTACAGAATCAAAGACCTACAGAACCCAAAGACGTATCTTCGGGAAACCCTGTTTGATTGGCAGTATACAGCATCTGCCAAGCCTCTAGCAGAGGCTGCAGAAGGGACAGTGCCATTTGTCTGTAGGTCTTCTCTGTGGCTGTGTAAACATGATATAAGAAGAGGAAACCATAAACAATTGAATTAGTAGTCTTCTCTTAGAGCATTACTACAATACTAGTTAGTAGTGATTTAGGGCAAAGTAAGCTAAATTAGGTAGAGTAGAAAACAAGACGAAAAACATTACAAAAGCTGAATTAAAATAGCAGGGGGATTGATACAGATGAAGAAGGCAGATGCGGAAAAAGACAATTCAGTGTTTCATCCCAAGCAACTACCTTTCTGAGCCAAAGACTTTCTCAAGATGGTAGTTGCTGGTCCCCCAGTAAAACAAACTAAGATATAAAATTATTTTAACACAGGGGAAATAGTTATAAAAAACCCCAAACATTTCAACATCAAATTAAAGAGAGTTAACGGACAGAGGATGTGGTGGTGTTAGGTAACAGGCTGGACTTGGTGATGTCAGAGGTCTTTTCCAGCCCAAGTAATTCTGTGATTCTATGATTCAGTGACTTGATTTTGGTGCTGTTTATAAAAGCTTATGCAATTTAGAATGGCTTGGATTAGTAAAGTTGTTTCAGAAGAAAAGGTCTTTTACAAGATCAAAAGTCTTCTTTCTAATGAACACATCATCCAGAAAAATAAAAAACAACACTACATATATTTTCCAACACAGAATAATGTTCAAGTTCTCATAATGAAAACTGGAAACTAGTAAGCCAAGTCTGCCTTTTTATTTTAAGATAGCTTTCTGGAGACCTAGACTCAGCAACTACTGCCAAGTCCATTGTTACAGCTGTGGATTTCTAAGCTGACCCAATGGTATGACAACAGCTTGCTTCCCAAAGGCAAAGACAGCAAACTAGTTCATAGTAGACTAAACCAATTAACTACATTCACTACATACCTAATGGTGCGGAGATTATGGGAAACCTCAGATATGAGCTGAATTTATGTATTGCAGAACCACTTGAAGCATGAAGAGATGACCTGACATGACTGTCTGTGAGAGCAGGGGCCCTGACTCAGGTTATCCCTTCAGTATCTCTGTTCCTTTGTTAAGAGTGTACTTTCATAGGCATCAAATCACACCTCCGCTTGTAAAGTGAAAGTATACTAGCCTAGGGCAATTCTAAAGCAGAATGGTACCAGATGAAAAGGGAGGAGAACCAAAGGAGGTAGAGTATCTACAAAAGCAGTGATACTCCCCGCTGCTGCCACTAATAAGAAAAGCTCCAATGGAGCTTAAGGAGTGGTGACACTCTGTCCCTACTAAGTAGAACTAGTACCCGCATCTGACTAACACAGCAAAACACCCTGATATGCCTCCTTTTAGCTACCTCAGGAACAAGGTAACATTATTTCATTATGGTTGAGGGAACCTGGGGTTATTTGTCTTGGTAATAGGGCACAACACCTATGAATTGTCATCTCCTGAGCCAGACATACTAGGCAAAAGCTGTGGTGCAGAGGAGTCCACTCAGCTTAAAGATGCCTGGAAGAAAAGTAGACATACCATGTTGTATGGAACAAAAGAGCTAGGTGAAAAAAAGTATCATGCAGAAAACCCTGTCTAAAAATCACTTTCTAAGGGAGCTGGTGCCATTCCAGATCCCTAAGAAAAGAGTCTACCTTCATGTATAAGAACAGAAAAAAAACAACTCATGCTGGCCTGTGGTCCAGGTATGTCCACCTAAAGTACATCCTTTGGATTTAAGAAAGCTTGTAGCTTGAGGGTGATTAACACTTGAGAAGACACTCCATTCCTATTGGTTCCACAGATGTCATAGACATGGTGAAGATACTATTAACAGTACCACACTGCTGTGAAAGTGGTAGCAGATGTGAGTAAACACAGAGCTGATGTCTATCTCAGCATACTTTAGCAAACAAAATCAGATTATTTCTGAAAGGAACAGGAAGGAGAGGGAAAGACATAAAGAGAGACTACTGGACACAAAAGAAGAGGAGGAAAAAGGGAGAATGCAACCAGTCTGTTTCTGTGTAGAATAGAGGAATTTTTCAGAGGTAAGCAAGCACCAGTAGATAAATACAATGTAAAAGGACAGGAAGGAGAAGCTCAAGATCAAAGAAAGACAGGCTCAAGGGGGAAGACTTTTCCCTGTACTCCAGGTCCCAAAGCCTAAGGAAAATATCCATCAAATTAATGTGCACACACACAGGGAAGCTGAGTTTTCAATCAGAAACCATCTTGTCTTGCTAGTGGACAAGCCAGGATGTCAAGAGTTGGGTTAAAAAAAAAGTAATTTTCAAGTATTTTAAGTGAATACTATTATTATATCTACTAGATATATATAACATAAATTTAAGTGAATACATGTGTATATAGACACACAAACAAAATCATTACTTTATCAGCATTGTTTTATCCACCTATTTTTCAGTTGCTTTTTCAACTCTTTGTTTCAATATACAAAGACTGTATTATTCACTATTTTTTGGTAGTAAACTGCAGTTGATTACCATAACACTTACCTCTTCATCTGATAGCCATAAAACAAACATATAAAAACTAGACGTTAAACTTAAGCAAACCTCTCCTGCTTCAGTTCAGGACAAATCAGAACACCAACATAGCAACTCAAATAAATGATGTTACCAGAAGTGCAACACCCAAATTTTTCACTACAGAAGATGTCTCAGTTCATACGATGCCTCTCCCTATACCACATAGATCAAATTGATTTTAAAGACACTTTTCTGGGGACAGAATCACGTTTTCTCATCACTGACTGTGCAGGAGACTGACTCAGCTCCCTTCTCTTCCAACATACAAGAACCTGCACTTCTTGGGTCTGCCTTCAATTGTACAGTGAAAAAGACCCAAATTAACACTAAAATATACATGAACAGAATGTCACTACATTTCTCCACAGTCATAGTGACTTTGGTCTGCTGTGTCTCATCTTAACAACCAGTGTTTTATTTCTCAGCTATGTTCGGATTCTCAAAAGCAATTAGAAAATTTTTTTCAGTAAGATTGAACGCTGGGGAAAGGCAATACGAAAGGAAGTAAAATCAGTAAAACATTATGTTGAGAACAGACATTAAACAGGATTCTCTTTCTCTTTCATTATCTAAACCATTAAACAATCTTTTCTCAGTGATAAACAAGTCATACCTGAAAATGATGTTTCCTGCACGATCAGCCTTCCATGCCTTCACAAGAGCAAAATCTCCTGTAATTGACTTCTCCAGAATAAAGTGACGGCCATCAAACTCTCGCACCTACAGAAACAAGTACACTGTTAAGATGCAGATCTCTTCAAACAGGTATCCTATGTAGCATTTATCTTATGGCATAAATGTTACAACTATTATATTTAGACTTTTTTATACTACATAAATTTTTGTCTGAAAACCTGTAGCTCAACTGTATAATAACAGAAAGGACATATAACAGAGAAAGGCTGTAAACCTTGGTTTTATCATAGTGTTTCTTTTTTGAGCAGTAGATCCACATCCCTGCTGCTCCATCTACTGGAAGTAACCATGTTTTTTCTGGCACGTATACCAGAACTGTTGAAAAAGTGCACTATCAATACCCACCACCAGAAACCCCAAATCTAAAATGAAGTGAATTTGAGACAGAATATTCAAATACATAACCTGACAGGATGAATTTCATTTGGTTTTATCTTCATTTATGATCAATATTTGTAATGACATTGTGCCTGAAGTCAGAACATGTAAGTAACAAACAGCTAGTATTCTAATTCTATTATACAGAAACACAGAACAGCATTGTCTTAACAATGTACTAGGTTAGAGTATACACAAATACTACTTGAGAACTATTTAGAATTTCAGAGAGGTGTAGGAAGCATGACAAAATGATACCAGAAGTCAGTTTTTCAGTCCTGTGAAAAGATATCTGAGAGTTTGTGACAACTGAGTTTCTCCCTGTTTAACAGGAAACTTCCCATCTCTTCTAATGCTAAAGCTTCATGTGAAGCTCCACAGCTGCTTACGCCATACCACAGTATCTAAGGAGTACTAACAGGAATTTTATCTTGATCTGTACTGTGCACTGCAGTAGCCTGGTTCAGGATTTTGTATGAATACACGGTGAACCTGGTCAGAGAACTGTTCACTGAAGAGTAACACAGCAAGGTAAGTTTTCACTTGGAACAGTTCTTGATGCTAAGTCACCCAAAAGCTGTAAAAACTTTTCTAATGCATCACAGAGGATAGAAATGAGAGTGGGAGGAAAACCATCATGTCTGTTAACACAGCCATCCTGTTAATTCAAGATACCGAGGTAAAACTTTGCCAGGAGGTGGTTACGCTACTGCTTATCTCGGAAATATATTATAATGAACATTTTCAAAGCAGAAGGCTTCCAGTAACATACTGACATCTTACCTCTCTTGGCTGGCTAGCAATGGCAATGGTGCCATCTGTGTTGTATTTGATAGGTGCACCCCCTTCCTGCACCAGCGTCCCGTAGCCAGTACTGGTGTAAAATGCTGGAATTCCTGCTCCTCCTGCTCTAATACGTTCAGCCAGTGTACCCTATGGGAAAACACATTTAAGAACTAGTCACTTGGGAAGAACAAATAAAACTTTCACAGATGGCTTGCATGAACTGTTTTTTATATCCTGTCACTTAAAGCATTTCCTTCTAAACTCAGCCGATCATCTTATCTATGTCTTCCTCCCATCTGACCTCTCCTTTGTGCAGCTGGTAATGGATATGGTAAGAAAAGTTTAACGAATTGCCATAAATTGCTCAAGGGCACATCATCACACAACTCCCAGTCAACTTGCAAACCCCAGCATTTTTCTTTGCCTCCTCTCCTTCAGCTTATTCTCCAGTCCATTACTCTGAGAAATGTGGAGTTCTTTTTCTCCTTCCTACCTGGCTACATATACTAGAAGGTTTCTCTTTTATAAAAAGTCCTACATATTCATGTTTCATTCTCTTAACATCTTTAGAAAAAATACATACCTTTCTCCGAGTTGAAACAGCAGATCAAGTGAGGAAGAAGGAGTCCTGTGATCTGGGTGGCCCATGCTAAGAATACCAAGAAGCTGACACAACAGCATTTCTACTCTATCTGATCACCCCATCTGCACTCTGGTCTATGTCCAGCTGTACCATGGCTATTAACAGCCCAAATTCCTCAACAACCTTAGTTATGAGCTTATTGTGAAAGACATGTCTGCCTGCTTTTCATTAGTGTCCTTTCCCAAATTTCTTTGGTATTTTTCAGGACACAAAGAAGACAAGACTGTCATGGTCAATTATCTAGCTTGACAGCATCTGAAACACAGGTTGCATTTTCCCCAGTTGTCCTGCAAGAAATGCTATGACTTCTGGTACGTTTAAAAAACAGTGGGAAGAGGCAGGTGCAAACCATGCAATGATACAAAGTCCTGTCTTCTAAGCAGTCTTAGCATTTCCAGATCAACAACAAGGACACAACAGTCATCTGTTTTGCGTAAACTCATACCAAACTTCAAGAGCGTTTTCAAAAAAGGCTATTTTATATTGACATAAATATTTAAAATCCCTGCGTTTTCCGACAAGTTATTAATTCACCTTACTGTTTTCACACTGTAGACTCAATATTTGCATGCTGGATCTATATAGCTTGTCTGTGCAGTCCACAAAGCCAATCACATCTAAGGAGTTTGAAAGTCTTTCAGATGAAAGCACATAGCACCAATTAGGAGGAAGGAAAAAACTAATTGTGAGGTAACAGAAAGTTGAGATTTGTGTTTTTTGAAATATGAGACAAGTGCCTGGTTACTTCCATGTCAACTGACTGGGTATAAAAGGAGTTCTGGCCATTTCTGGGATTTTAATAGATAATCCCAAGAGATGGAACCCAAGACTCTCTTCTCCATAATAATTTAAGACTGTTGCTTTTCCCAGAAGCTTCAATCAAGCTTCTGTGCCACCTTTTGAAATGTCACACACTAAGAAGCAGTAGGCTTTAAGTCCTAATATCACAAAACTGGATCTCTATAGTACGTGACTGATTCTCATCAGTTTAGGATATCATTTCATTCAGGCTATTTGGGCAGATTGGCAGTGCTAAGATAGTTAAAACTATGGTGCCAAAATTAACATTGTAAATATTGGTTCATAACACCATGCTGAGATTAATATAGTTAAGATTTAAAGAATAAGCCCAAAAGAGTTGTTGCACAACAAACTGAAACCCCTAATTTCGTTCCTACCCCACTAGAGGGCAGACACTGCACACGTAGCATCCCAAAAGGCACACACAAACTGCCACCAATACAAGAACTCCCTGATTTTCTTCTGCTTACAGGGGCCGGACTAGTGAGCATATTTCATGTGTTTTTCTACAATCTGAGAGGAACTACCAAAAAAACATACATTGTACAATAAAATGTGTGTGTGTATATATGTGTACGTATATATATTTTTTTATATATATACATATACTTAAAATGAACATAATATAACAAGCCATAAAAGCAATGCCACAGTCAGTCCTTAACAGATCAGTTGCAGCCTACAGCCCAGTGATGCTCAAACAGCAAGTCCCATGTGTCTTTACCACATATCTGGACACAGGCAAAACAGATGTATTGCAAAATAATTTTATAAGAGCACTTCAACATTATCTTACTCAGAATTTTAGATTAAAAGAACCAGTCTCCTGGTTCCTTACCTGAGGTGTAAGCTCAACTTCAAGCTCACCAAAAAAAAAAAAAAAAGCCATAAAAGCAATGCCACAGTCAGTCCTTAACAGATCAGTTGCAGCCTACAGCCCAGTGATGCTCAAACAGCAAGTCCCATGTGTCTTTACCACATATCTGGACACAGGCAAAACAGATGTATTGCAAAATAATTTTATAAGAGCACTTCAACATTATCTTACTCAGAATTTTAGATTAAAAGAACCAGTCTCCTGGTTCCTTACCTGAGGTGTAAGCTCAACTTCAAGCTCACCAGATAAATACTGGCGTTCAAATTCCGCATTCTCTCCAACATATGATGACACCATGCGTTTTATCTGCTTAGTCTGAAGCAGAAGACCAAGTCCAAAATTGTCAACACTGCGTAGAAAAAGGCAGACAATACTGAGCATTTGTAACAGAGTTTTGTTGTATTGAAAGCACTTGATAAACCTCAGTGACTTAAAAAGATAAAACAAAGTTATCACCCCTCATGTTAGACATCAGTAATTGGAGACAAAAATAAAATTCCAGCTTTCAGAAGGGAAAATATCAATGCTGCAATTAAAATTTAGGAGTTCAGTGCTCAGACTGTATCTCTTTCTAGGTACTGAATACAACCCAAACTGCACTTTAAAGACTTTTTGCATTTAAAAGCTACAAATACCAGCTTAAGAAGTGGTGTTATTTTGCATATCTGTACCTTTACAAATAATCTACTCCTTTCTAATTAATAAAAAGTCACACACAGCATAACCTGGCTTTGGGTGAACGAAGATTTAGTTTTTGTTTAAACTCTTGCTCCCCAGGAAAAAGGCAAGTGATTGCTTAGTAGCTCAAGGAGAAAGGAAGATTCACATTTATAATATTGGTTTATATATCAAGTAAGAGAGCAGTTGTATTTACATTTTCTTCTAATAATAATTCACTTTCTTATTAAGTGACAGGGGAAAAAAAGAACATGTAAGGACTGTATTACAAACCCGTATACTCCATACAAAAGATACTATCTTAACTCAAAAAAAGGGAAAAAAACCAACAAGTTAGAATCAAGATACAATGCTGAGTGAGCTGAGATGTTATTTGTTTCGCACAATAATCAGTGTAGATCAGAGGAAAGAATCCACTGAGCCACAAACCTCATTTAATGTACCCCACTAATATAATACCCCACTAATTCAGGATCCACACGCCAGCTGCAACCTCCTAGCATCTTTTCAAAAGGTCAGACTAAAAAAAGTCTATTGTACAGTATTCATTTTCAAATATAAAAGTAGTAATGATGAACACACTTTTACAAAAGCACCACTGCCCTCTTGCCAGCACTGATATCCCACAGTATGTGCTGCAGTGCTGCATGTGAAGGGAAAGGGGCTGAGCAGAGCAGTACCAGCACCAGCTCTTTGTCTTCTCCTACAATACTCACACTAGCTGCATGCATAGACAGTTGTGAAGTCAGAAAGACTTCCCAACTGCAAGGATAATGAGAACTATTTTGAGGTTAGGACTATTTTAGGAAGACAGCCCACCTCTTTGTATACTCAGGTCTTTTGGAAACTGCATGACAGGAAATGAAACAAGCTTCTCTGATCTAGTTTTCTGTATTAGTTCTACATCCTCTGAAGACCATAAAAAAGAAATCCAATGCTGATGCAATATTAAAAGTGTTGCAGAGCCAAATCCTGGAAAATAAAAGGTGTGCTGCCTGGAAATAACCTATATTTCTAATTCCCCACAGGAAAAAAATGCAGCAGTTTGAAACTAACAGTAGAGTAGAAGGAAGAGTCTTGTGGGCAAAGGAAGGGATGAAAAAAAAGGAGTAAAAATACAAATGCCAGAATTTCTCGTATAGAGTAGCTCAAAGGAGGACAACCTCTCTCACAAGAAAACCATCAAAACCTGACCTCTCACTATAAAAGGTAATAAGCAAACGTAGTAAGTCAGCCAATATCTGACAACAGTGTAATGGGTTTGTCTCACTAGAGTACTGACTGTGTAGCAAAAGTACAGAAGTTTAACAGAACTATGCAGTGCTTCGTAGTGCAAAAACCAGCAGAGGCAGCTTGAACTGCTTACAAACCAGAGTTTGCTACTTACCTATGTCATTCAGGTGGTTAACACTGCTCTTGACAACGCAAAACTTGCAAACTATCAAATAAAACAGGCAGACACAAGATTTCTGCATGCAGATAAAATTCCAAGTGCATGTTCACATGAGAAAGGGACAGCAACAGAGGGTCAACAGCAGATTTGCAATGGCTAAAGGGATTTCTGCCTTGTTTCACTAAAATCTGTAATCCTTCTTCCTATAGTCTCAGAAGCTGGACAGGAGCACATTGTCACACAGAATCACAGAATTCATAGAATAGCCATGGTTGGAAAGGACCTCTGAGACCACCAAGTCCAACCGTAACCTTAACAGCATTTTGCGCTATCATCCTGCAGGATCCCATGCACGATCTGATACAGATACACTTGATTCCCTCGTCTGCTACAGGAACGTGTCTTCTCTCAAACAAAATTTTGTAGTTACAAAGTTCCCTATAGAAATTAAATAGGAAATCACACAAAATCATTCTCTGTCAAACTCATCCCAAGTTGGTCCCCATTTCCTAAGTCACTCTTTCTCCTCACCTCAAAGGCAGTCAACTTATTAAAAAACAAAAGTGATGTGAGGATCAGTCACCAAGGACACTGGTCATACACCCTCATTCCTCTGGCACAAAGACAGAAGGAATTCTATCTTCAGAAAGTCATGCACCAAAAGGTTCTGCCTGCCTGATAACACAAAATTACTTCAATTCCTGCATTTCATTTACAAAGCAGTGTCACAAAACCCAATTCCTGTTACCCATTTGTTATTTTATATGTAAATTTCTTTAAAAATACGTAGTACTGTCCACCTTTTTTAAGAATGCGGTCTGCATTGTTTTCCAACTAAAATAACCCTTTTCTCTTTCCATGCACATCAGTTTCCCGTTCTTGTCCCTCCAAAAACTCATTGTGAGCACTTCAGCCTATTTTACATTCCCTATGTTTTTTTCTTAGATTTTAATGTCCCAAGAACCCAGCATTTCGCACAGCAGTGAAAATGCTGTTCTCACTCCTACTATCTTAGTTCTTTCCATCCCAAAAAAAAGTTCACAAAAAAACAGAAACAAACAAAAAAGCAAAAAAAAAAAACAAACCACAAAACAAACAAACAAACAAAAAAAACCCCACACATTTCTGGCTTAGGGAAAATTCTTTAAAGATAACATTGTTTATGTTACTTGCTTGTTTCTCCCTTACAACATTTTGCTGCTTTCTTTGGGGTTTTTGTTTGCTTTGTTTGCTTTTGGTTTTGCTTTGTTTAGGTGCAAAAATTTCTTTGAACTTTTCAGCCTAAAGTATGTTTATGCTGAAAAAGTTACCCCTAAAACATCTGTCTTGCAGGCAATGACCTGCCTATCTAGTAATAACCATAAAAAGAAAAAAAGATCCTTTACTAAGTACATGGAAAGAACACATCCTGTACACCTATTTTAAAAGCTGGGTTCAGTCTTTTACAAATTTAAACAAAGGTGAGTGCAATAATGATGTGTTGCCTTAGATAGGAAGGAAAAAGGCATGGTGGAAGTTGATACAATTGTTATGCATGTTGTCAAGAAGAGGGCAAAAGTATTTCAGTACTAGACTGAGAAAGCATTATTTTGCCCTCAGAACTGTTAACATCTCTAGAAGTTTCCCCATTCTGTAACCAAATGAAATCTGAATTAACAGAATACATAAAACACATATAGGAAAGGAGATGAAACCTGATGCTCAAGAATGTTAAGTGACCTAAGGTCCTCATTCTGCTGATGTGGAAGAGAAAAAGTAATCACAATTAAAGATGTCTCATTGTCTAGCAACACAGTCCTTCCTATTGTTTTGACCTGCTCAGAGCTACAAAACCTTCCTGTCAAAAACTAATGTCTACCTTCTCTAATGAAAAAAATTAGACAAAGATGACTCCTAGCCAGATCCAGAACACATATCTCAAGTATATTGGTCAAAGTAAAAGGCAACATGCTGATGTTCATTCCAGGTAAATGGTAATTTGCAGCTCTGAAACCTTTCTCTCTGGTGGATCAAGCAAAACACATTCTACAGCATCACAGGGAAGAAGAGATTACCTGAGTTTCCGAGCTGATAAAAGTTTCACAAACCAACAAGCCGTACACAGCCTGAAAAAGCAGGGCCAAGTGCAAGGTCCTGCACATGGGCATGGGGAATCCTAAGCACAATACAGGTTGGGTGAAGAATGGATTGAGAACAACCCTGCAGAGAAGGACATGGTGGTGTTGGTGGATAAGCAGCTCAACATAAGCCAACAATGTGTGCTCACAGCCCAGAAAGCCATCCTGGGCTGCATCAAAAAACCACATGCCCAGCAGGACCAGGTAGGTGATTTTCCCCCTTTACTCTCATAAGATCCCACTTGAAGCACCATGTCCAGTTCTGGAGCCCCCAGCACAGGAAGGACATGGAGCAAGTCCAACAAGCTGAGAGAGTTGGGATTGTTCAGCCTGGAGAAGAGAAGGCTCCAGGGAGATCTTACAGTGATTTTCCAGTGCCTGAAAGGGCCTACAAGAAAGCTCCTGCAGAAACATAAGCAAGTCTCTCTAGGCATTCAGTCTTGCACAACTCTGCATGAAACTTGGTAACAGATGGACCTGTTCCAGAGACAGAAATTTACCTGGCAAGTGGCCAGGAGTGGGAGAGGGGAAAGAATTACCTTTGTCACTCTGCACTTAAGAGGCTTAATCTCATTTACTTTACTTTGTAACATCAGCTTTTCCGCCCTCAAAAAAATCTGCTTCAAGTTACATGCAGTTGTGTCTTCCAATAGGCCAGCACTTCCTAGAGAAGTCCACATGTGCTCCCTAACTGAAAGGACTGTATCCATCACTACCAGTTTGTTACTTCTTAGTAGCACAGCCTTCAGCTTTCAGGCTCACAGGGGTGCCTGACTATAGCATGAAACTTTACCAACATGAAAGAAGGTACGTGGCTGAAGACAGCATCTGAATTCTTAGAGATGCACGCTCATAGGTCCACAAAAATAATCATGAAGTATAATCCTGGCAGCACCGGAAAGTGATGATTTATAGCCTTTGTGCAGAAAATGAGTAATGCCTACTAGATAGCATTTGCCATTGAACAAAAGTGCAGGCACACCAAAGGTAAAATAAACATCAACAGTAACTCACATAACAGTTCTTGATGATTGTCTTCCCCAGTCATCTAGCTGGCTCTTAACAGTGAGATGTTACATTGGAAGAGAACTAAGGATCCAGCTCAGATTATGTTCTGCTTCTCCTCCTTTTCTGCCCCCACTTCCATCATAGTACATACAA